CCTGGGACCCTGGTTCCTCCAGTGGATCCAAATAGGAGAGCGATAAGGACTTGTGTCCTGGGAGCAGAGGGGCCAAGGGCGTGCCTGACCTCCACTTGGTGTCAGCCTGCGGGCTGGAAGGTTAGCCTGCTCATGAAGCCCCCAAACCCAGGCATCAGAGTAACTGCAAAATCATCAGGTTCGGCATCTCTGGAGGGCTCTGTCTCTGTCTCCCCCTCACTTCCTTCCCCTCCCCAACCCATCCCATCACTTCCGTGGAGGAGAGAGAGGCTGATTCATCCCTTTCAGTAGCAGAGCCAGAAACAACCCCCCACCCCCCACCCCCTGAGCAAAGTTGCCATCCAGGACTGCAGCAGGTCTGGTCACAACCTCAAGGGAGGGTATCCCTACGCACGCACACACACACAGACACACACACACGTCGTGTCTACGTTCAGACCTTGTGTGCAAACACAATTTGCATGCCTGGACTTGTTTATGAGGCCCAGGCATAATTGGCTTGCCTCGCTCCACACCTCGGCACCCCCTCCCACCTCCCCTCCCCCGCCACCCCCACCACACCTCGAAAGAAAGGAGAAACGTGACAACAAACTCCAGTTGTCCAAAGCCCACGAATCCCCTACCAGTCACACGCTCCCCTGGCGTGGCGGAGACGGGGGTGGGGCTGCGGCATGGGGGGAGTGATCGGTGAACCCGAGGTGAATGAAATAATTGGAAAAGTGAGGTGTGAGTTTGTTACTGAAGTGTGAGCGTGGTGGGGGAGGGAAGGCGGGCCATGTTTAAAAGCTCGGTATGTCCTCTTTATTCACAGCTTCTGATACAGTAATTGCTATTTTGTGGTTTCTATTATCTACACAGTGGGGAGCATCCGTGTCTCCTTCCCAAGCGGTAGAGTCTGGGCTTGGGTAGGGGCGGGTGGCAGGGTGGGGTTCCTGGGTGCCCTGTCATCTTCTCCCTTCTGGTCCCCTGGTGGCCCTGCCCAGCCTCACCCAAGCCTCTGCTCCCAGGAGACACACACAACTTCCTGCAAAAGCTGCTCTTAAACATGGCTCCGTGGGCTTTGCTGTCAGATAAGAACCTTAATAATGGTTAGTATTTATATATCACTTAATTCCAAGGAGCTAAAGGTACTTCATTGATTTTCTCCACCGCCCTGCCCCCCCATCCCCCCGTCCCACCACACCAACCTTTTTTCTTTTTCTATTTTAATTCTCTTTCAATGTCTCTCTGAGATCATTAGTGTCGGCTTTATTTTCTCCCACACAGTAGTTTCAACCAAAGCCGTCCACGTCCCCAACAACTGCCAGGAGCGAAAGCTAGCTTGGGTTTCGCCTCCTGGGCTGTGGGGCTTAGGTGGGCCACTTGGCCTCTTCGGCACTTTAAGTTTTCTCATCTGTAAAAACAGGAGGCAGCGACTCTTAACCCACAGTTGTTGTACCTGGAAACAGTATATTTAAAAGCCCTAGCACGTCGCAGGCACTCTGTTGTTGGTCGCTGGGGTGACAGCCACAATGACAGTGTCTTGACGCTCCAGCCATTCATTCTGGGGCTTCACAGGTAGCGGTTCTAAGATCTAACCCTAATCTTTCAGCTGTTTCAGAAGCCCGCCTCTCTCTCGTCACAGTCTCGGAAGGAAGACGGGCCCACCATCACCCTTCCCCAGTCCCCCAGAGGATGCCGTTGTTCAGTCTCTGTCAGGTCTGACTCTTTTATGACCCCATGGACTGTAGCCCACCAGGCTCCTCTAGAGGTCCATGGGATTCTCCAGGCAGGAACACTGGAGTGGATTGCCGTTTCCTCCTCCAGGGGATCTTCATGGCCCAGGGATCAAACCCATGTCTCCCGCATTGCAGGCACATTCTTTACCATCTGAACTACTGCGGAAGCCCCCACCCCGCAAAGAATAGTTTTGGTTTTGTTTTTTAAGCTCCTCGGGTCCTGGGACACAGCATTTCCTTGGCTGTGCAGATGTCTGTCTGGACAGCCTTGATGGGCTATGACCTCCCCCTCGGCCTGCCGTCTCCCTGGGACAGGACCCCAGCTCCCTGATCCCCGCCCTCATCCCTTATGGATTGAGGCTGCCCATCCATCCAGGCTTTCCCCACCGAGCTCTCATATCCCACTTCTCCAAGCCACGTGAGCATGGCTCCTTCAGCTTCTCCCCATCAGCTTTATTCTCCACCTTTTAATTATTTTCCTCGCCTTTCTCCGGACCCTCAGCTGCTTACCATGCATAGGGCGTCCACAGCTTGCAGTGCTCTGCGGAGAGGGAGGAATTAACCTCACCAGTCTCTCCCTCTGTCTGTCTCTTGCGTGCGCACACACACACACACACATGCACATATACACACACAGAGGCGAGCTCCCCTAAAAGGAGCCAGGGACCGGCGGTTGGAGCCCCTGAGGGCAGAGGCAGGGGGTTTGCACACAGTGCAGGGGTGGAAGGAACTGGAACCCAGTCAGCCACCCTCACTGCGGTCTTGGCCAAGTCACTGGACCCCTCACAGCCTACACAGGGCAATCCTTGCCGCCCCCTACACTCGGCCTTCCTGCTTCATGCCAGAGAGACAGGGCCACACCCCAGGGACAGAAAGAAAGTCCCCACTCCTGAAAGTGGTCCCCTCCAGATAACTGAAGGGGGTGAAACATTGGGCAGTGGAGAGAGCTCCGGGTTCACATCAGACTCTCCCCAGCTCACTCTCCAGCCCTACTGCCTACTCGCAAGAAGCACTTCCTCCCTGAACCTCAGTTTCCTCATCTGTAAAATGGGCATGGTGAGACCAATGATAATGAACATTTGTGCTGTTGGTGTGTATGCCCTGTGGCCTGGTTCCTCCACCCTCCAGGTGTGGGTGTGATGTCCCAGTGGTTGTGTCCCCCTTCCACTAGGGGTACTATTTCTTCATTCCAAAACTACCTTCAGACACCCACTCTGAGCCAGGCCCGGGGCGCCTCGCCACAGATCCAGTGATGAGCAAGATAGAAAGATGTGGTTTCTGCTCTCACAGAGCTGGGTTCCAGCCCCAGGGGGAGGCAGAGAACTACTCGGGTGTCCACATGGCAGCACCCTGAAGCACAGAGGGCCCTTGACCCCCAAGCAGATCGGCCACGGCTGCTGCCTTAAGTCAAGGCCTGAGAGAACCTGGAAGCCGGGGCAGGAGTGGAGGGCTGGGTGGAGAGACCAACACACCCACAGGTTTTGTCTGTCCAGCGCCCAGCATAGCCTGGACGCATACGGGTGCCTGCCAAGGTCCCCTGTGCCCGAGAGCCTTCTCAGACCAGGTTTGAATCCATCCGATGTTCCTGCCCCCACAGCCCCCATGGCTTTCTGAAGAACTTGGGGCCAAAGGGCTGCTTATATTTACCCAGAGGGGCCTACCAGAAAGTGTGTGTGTCCTTTGCCTTCTGAGTCCAAGGCCAGCCCTGGAGGAGGCGCTGGGGCTTCGCTGGAGAGAGAGGCAGCCTGTCTGTCGTGGGGCGCGCCGGCCTTTAGGTGGCAGAATAAAGCAGGGTTTGTGGCCTGGGCTCCACTGGGCGCTCTCCCACCTCACCTTCCTGCTCATCCCCACCTGCCCAGTCTCCGGGCCCTTCCAAGTCTGCCATGAGCCCCAACTGGGGTGGGGGGAGCTGGGAAGACTGACAGGGCGCCCCCCCCAGCCCCTCCCGGGAGTGGGCCAGCCTCCTCGCCAGCAGCCCCCCCCACCCCCCGCTCAGAGAGAGGCCAGGAGGGAGAGTGGAGCGGCCGGGCACGCGCCAGGGAGACGTGCAGATTCATTTTGAGGCCTCATAATGCCGCATTTACACACCATCCTGCCTCCAGAAATTGGGCTGGCCGATGCCTGGTCATGCTGGCAGGGCCGCGGGTTAACTCCTCGGATTTAGCTTAGATCATTTCACGAGAGCTTACAGCCTTTACTGTGTTTTTTTCGCCCAATCGGTCTCTGGCCCCCGAGGCATCCTGGACTGTCATGGGTAGGCACATGTGCCCCAGCACCCGCAAGTGTGTGTAGATTTTCACATAAAATGGTACCTCTCTTCAGATGCTGCGCACATTAAATATTTATCGGCAGCAATCTTGTGCGTATATGTTTGATAAATGGACCTGAGGATCAGGTGGGGGTGAGGGGAGTGGGATAGGGTAAAATCAAGGGAGGCCTCATCCTTTTGTCCCAGAATTTCTCAAAGGTTTACCTTTGGGGGGCAGGAGGTAGAAAGGAGGGGAGGGGCTGGGGGGATGGCCAGGGACCGTGTTTACCTGTCTGATCCCTATTGGGAGGGGGCGGGGGTACGAGCCATTTTCTCCTCCAGAGCTTGGCCTGATTCACTTCAGTTCAGTTCAGTCACTCAGTCGTGTCCGACTCTTTGCACATATCAAAACCCAGAGGCAGGCGAGAGAAGTGGAGTTCAGAGGGCGTGGCTGTGTGTCATTCAAGCGCCAAGCGCTGAAGGAGCATCTCAGTTCCCTTGTCTGGGATCAGGGACTCATCCTGCTTACACAGTGCGGCTGTGGGGCCGGTTGCAGGTCAGGAGACCGTGCTGACCCTGAGTCCGGGGCCCCCGGGGCACACATGAGCAGGCCCTGGCCCTGGCCGCTGCCTCCCCAGCCTGGTCAGGTGTGCAGGAGGCTGGATCCCCGCCCCCCACTTGCTGAATATTTACCCCCACCCCCCAACTCCCCAGGGGCAAAGGGCGGATGAGTGTGTCTGCCCATCAGAAAGGAAGGGAAAAGTCTCCATCAGCCGGGTCGTCCCCTTGCTGCCTGGTGTGATGACCAAGGCCCGAAGGCAGGAGGCCACCCACGCGCCCCCACCAGGGCACGTGCTGGCCAGTGGGGAGCCGACACCAACACGAGTGTGTGCACACATGTGCGGGCTCTAAGCACCCCGCTCTAATGACTGGCAAGGATCAGTGAGTGGGGATCGGTCCTAGCCCACCCTCACATCCGCCCCCCACCCGGCTCCAGTGCAGGCAGTTCTGAAACTCGCATGTTTTTGTTCCAGCACCTTCGGGGAGCTGAAGACCGTCCGCTTGCCGAAGAAGATGACCGGGACAGGCACGCACAGAGGCTTCGGCTTCGTTGACTTCCTCACCAAGCAGGATGCGAAGGTGAGACCAGGGCCCCTCCCACCTGGCCTCTCCTTTTGGGGCCGTTTTGCCAAAGAAGCAACAAGGCCTCTTAACAGATGAGGGTGCCCCCTCCCCGCGCCCTGCCCATGTGGGTTTCCTCTCCGCTCCTCCCCACAACCCTGCTAATTTGTATGACATCCTTGGAAGAGAAGACCCTGGATTTTGTGTTGGAGGAAGGGGCAGTTCAGGGTCAGACAGCAAGCGTGGGAGACACTGTGGAGAGTGTCGAGGGAAGCCGGTGGGTGGTGCTCAGCGGGAACCCCTCGGTCACCTCTTTCCCCGCTTCTTCCCACTGCTGCCTGGGGCTTCTGTTTTGTGCTGGTTTCAGGTGAGGTCAGGCCAGGCAGGTGCTGCTGTGTGTAAGCACAGGTGCAGAGCTACTTGAAGAGAGCTTTTATTTGAGAAGCAAGGCGGCCTCTCCGGGTCTGGGGCTTGGCGCACAGGGGTCCTGAGTCCTCGTCCTCTCTCCCCAGCAGCAGAGAGGGGCAGAGGCCATGTGACCCGGTTCATTCAGCTGTGTCCATGGTCGCTGGGCTTCCTCTGTGAGCCCGTGCCACGGCCTGCCCGCCCCCACCCCGGGGCTTCCCTTGAGGGCTCAGTACAGCGGGGGGCAGCTCACACTGAGGGCTGGCACGCGCCCTGCCTGCGACGAGGCATCTTCTGAGAAGCAGAGTGTCGGTTGGGAGCACACCCGTTCGCCTGCTGCAGGGGCGGAGCTGGAGGTGGCAGCTCTGGAACACAGCTGCGGCCTTTGTGGGCCCCGGGAAACGCACACCGGCAGAGAGGGTGCCCCGAGACCCCGGCAAGCCTGCCAGCCAGCCACCGTTGTCTCAGCGTCTTGAACTCAAGTGCCTGCTTTGTTGACACGTGGGCCATGTTTGTCCAGACATCTGCTCTTCTTTCTTCTCGCCTGGCAGCCCTTCCTTGCCTCCCATCCTCGTGACAGGAGAGACCGCACCCCCTGCATGCTGCCAGCCCATGCACGGCCTTGACACTCACCAGCATGGGGTGAGGGATCCTCGTGCTGGCTGGGCGGGAGGCTGGGAACAGCACATCCAGAGCACGGCTCTTAGCGGCTGGCCACTCTGCTTTCTCAGCTTTGGCCTGTTCCTCAGTCTCCTCGTCTGTAAAAAAACAGGACGATGACAGGTCCCACGGTCGCGGAGTGAAGGCGGATGGTGACATGGGTCCTGGCACGCGGTGCTCATTTGCGCCAGCCCAGGTCCCTTCAGGGCCACCAGCCCTCCATCTGTGGACAGGAGAGGAGAGGCCTGCAGGATAGTGCTTTCTCCACTGTGTCCATCGAGCCCTGAGCTTGCATGTTTGTGTAGAATCACCATCATCTTCTCTATGTCAGGGAGACTGTGACCAGAGGAGAAATGAAGGGGCTTCACTCCTGGTCCCTAAATCACACCTTTTATTCAGGGACAGTTGGGTTTCCCAGGTTGCTCAGTGGTAAAGAATCTGCCTGCCAACGTAGGAGATACAAGAGACACAGGTTCAATCCCTAGATCAGGGAGATCCCCTGGAGGAGGGCATGGTAACCCACTCCAGTATCTTTGCCTGGAGAATTCCATAGACAGAGGATCCTGGTGAGCTACAGTCCATGTGGTCTCAAAGAGTTGGACAGGACTGAAGCTACTTAGCATGACACAGCACAGCCAGGGCTGGCTGTCAGGGCACAGACTCTGCAGCCAGGATCCTAGTACTTACCTGCAGTGTGACCTTGAGGGGGGTCCTACATGCCTCAGTTACCCCCCCCCCCCGTATATAACAAGAATGAGATGTCCCTCATCCTGTTGTCGTGAGGTTTGAATGAAGTGATAGTCTCAGAATGGGATTTGGCCCCTATGAACTGTGTGTTAGCTGCCATGAGAAGGATTGTGAGGGTGATGGTGGTGATGATTTGAGAAGGCGGCATAGAAGGAGCAGAGAAGTTGTCAGCACTCCTCCAGCTGGAAGCCGAGGCCTCTCGCCAGAGCTTGACGGCAGAATTAACGTGGCTCTCGGTGCCCAAAGGGTGGGACCAGACGTGAGCTCCCAGCCTTGAAATTCCACGTGCCCCCACCCCCAGGACACAGTCAATATCGCATCGTTCCCTGGGATCATTAGAACGGGGTAGGGGGGCAGGGCAGTGCCAGCGCCCACTTGGCCAGCGCCCCGCACTGGAGGCCAGGCTGCAAATGTCCTCTGCCAAGCCCAGCACAGCCCTCTGCCGATTCATGGAGGTGGCTCCTCCTCCCCTGCCCACCCCCGCCCCTGTCCCTTCTCTCCCTTCCATCCTGGGCTCGGGGAGGAGAAAGGGCAGCCGAGGACAGCGAGGCTGCAACTCCACACCCCCCCAGGACTGGCTCTTGCTGCCCCTCACCTCAGACAGGCGGCAGCCGGGCTCCGGAGCTGCCCGGGCCCCGACTTCCCCCCGCTCAGTGTCGGGACAGCAGGCCCTTTGTGCCACCGAGGAGGAGTGAGCTGGTCTCCCGTAAAGTCTGAACCCGCCTGGAGCGCGTCTCTCCTGCAAAGATCCCTTTGCTCTTTTTGCTTCCCGGAGAGGCCGCCGTGCCTTCTCCCTCTCCTTCTCCCCGTCTGTCTGAAGAACTTTATTGTCTCCCGAGTGGAACATTAGCGCTCTCCACTGACCCATAGCGCCGTGCGCGCTGCATATCGGTGAATAGAATTCTGAATATTGTAAATACCTGGTTAGCTCAAGGGTGGGCGTGAGTTTGAAGAGGGAAAGCAAAGCTGGAAGGACACATTGAGTTAGAAAACCCCGGAGATCCTTTTTTTCCCCTTCTCCAAAGACAGCACTCATGGGAATCCCAGGGCTGGCAGAGGGGCCTCCAGGACCTCTCCCCCTCCCCCATTTCTCAGGGCAAGCACCCTCCTGACCCCCAGTGGTTCTCCCTTTGAAGACCTGCCTTAGAAACCCTTTCCAGTTCTTGACTGAACCCTGACCACTTGGCTGTCTCACCAAGGGCTTCATTTCATCCCTGTTTTTCTCCCCCACGTGAAGATGAGCAGTCGGGCACTGTCTTGGCATCAACAGCGACTGAACTTGAAGATGTAAGCCTCCCACGGGGGCCCCAAGAAGTCCTCAGACAGGAGAAAAGGCAAAGGGGAGGAAAAAAGGGGGAGGGGGACTCCTATGATGGGTAGAGGCAGGGAAGAAGTAAAGGCTGATTGCAGCACCTCGGGTCTGGAGAGCAGTGAGGAGACGAGGGCAGTGAACCCAAGTGTGTAACTCGGCACAGGGCTCCTCCCTGGTACCAGCTGGCAGAGGAGAGAGTTAGGCTCCCTGGTCAGTCCCCGGAGGTATCCCTGCAGCACCCAGGTCTCTCTTTGGGCCCCGAGCATGGGCCATCTGCATTCTCCCCGCACCCAGGGATTCTCAGACTTCTGACCTTGCTCCATGACCCCGTGTTCCAACCCAGCATATCCTGGGGAACTCCATCATCTGTCTGCCCCCCACCCCGGGGGTCAAGTGTACACCCCCAAATAGGAAAGAGAATGCTAGCGCGAGGCTCCACGGAGAGCTCAGGGTAACCAGGCAACTGAGGACAATAGTCAGAGGCTGCAGCCAGCCGGGCAGGCTTTGTGTGTGACACATACTCGGCACACGCATTGTCTCGTCCCAACCTGCGGCAACCCCGGAATTCGAGAGAGGTTTGCGTTAACTCACTCGCAGGTTTCTCCAAGCACTGGCTAAGCTCTGTGCGTACAGGGCCGTGGGAAGCCGAGACCTGGCTCTTGCTGAGATGCTAAACTGGGGGTGGGACCTGGCCGTCAGCCCCTGTCACAGGCTCCCAGAGCTGGCAGGTTCTCCCAAACCTAGGGCGTTTCACCAGCCCCTGATGCCCCAGGCATAAATGTCAGTCCCTCTGAAAGGGCTGCTTATTACCTGAACCTCCAGGTGCAGTGAGCCTGCCTGTCTCAAAGAACCTTCCCCCACGTGCTGGAAGGAAGCAGGGATAAAGTTTGGTGAGGCAGACGGGAAGTCCCGAATTCAGTGGTCTTCTCCTGTGGCCTAGGTCTGCCCTACATGTAGGGGTGTTTGTAGTGTCTTAGGCTCACACAGTTCTCTGGGCCCTGATGATGTTTCTGGAAGGGGAGCTCCTTGGCACCGATTTAAAAAGCTCATCCACTTCTAAAAGCCCATCTGGGCATTCGCATGCATAGGCTTAAGGAAGCCATTTGACAGATGGAAAAACTAAGGTTCAAAGGGATGGGGCCACTTGGCCAGAGCTGAGAAACCCCACATGTCCGTCTGATTCCAAAACCCACGTGAGCACTTCCTCCCTTCATTCACGTATTCACTTAAAGCGAGTGTTGGCTGCAATCAGACGGTGCGCCCAGCCCCTCTGCCCCACACCCCCAACCAGCCCCAACCCCTCCCCAAAGAAAAGAACTCACCAATTAGACATTTTGGAGGAAGGCCAAAAGGCTGGACCTTAAAACGTCTCTTGGGAATAGGCCCAGGATGGAATCAACTCCTCCGGGGGCCCCAGAGAAGTAGCGGGCATCCCTTTAGGGGCCTCCACAGCCCCAGTCTCCATCCAGCCCTCCCAAGCCTCAGAGGAAGCAGTTTTCTACCTGGGCGGGCGACCTGGGATTCCAGACCAGCTGTGTCCCCGCCCATTGGCCGAGAGGCCACCAATAGCCATTGGGATTCCACGTTGAAGCCGCCACCTTCTCCATCTTTACCTGGACCGCCGGTTGGTCACCGAGGAAGAAGAACAGACTTGAGGCCCAGCAACCAGACATTCTTTTTTTTTCTTTTTCTTTTCCTCCCCATGCATGCGCCTTTAATTTCTCCCTTCCCTGAGCCCACCGAGCCTTTGTACTTTTGCAGTTGCAGCTGTTTTTATTTGCCGCCGCTGCTGTTGTTTTAAAAGGTCTATTTTCACATGGAATGTTATCCAATTAGCAGAGCAATGTGTTGGCTTAAATAAACACTTGGGGGGAGCCAGCAGTAGGGAGATGGG